AAGCCGACTTGGCGAAGGTCCCAGATGCTGGTGTCGAAGCCTGCTGCCAGCGCCACGGGGCAGACGTCTTCGAAAGAGCGTATCAGACAGCGTTGGCTCCAACTAGATTGGACGACTCAGATCAAGGAATCAGAGGGATCAAGCATGCTTGGACTCCGCATCTCAGCAAGCAAGCAAGCGTGCAAGCAAGCAAGCAAGCAAGCAAAGCAAGCGCGCAAGCAAGCAAGCAAGCAAGCAAGCAAGCAAGCAAGCAAACAGGCATAGGCAGAGGTGTAGGCATAGGAGTTGTTGGGGAGGCATAGGCATAGGCATAGCCATAGGAATTAGGGGGGCATAGGAATTAAGGGGGGGAAACGGACCAATGCGTAGGGTTTGAGCTAGGACTCCTATAGGGCAAGCCGACTTGGAGAATATGTCGGGCCGCAGCCAAATCAATTGTACACAAGACAAGCTGGAAAAGTAGAGAGACGATGCGACGGATGGCAAATTACACCAAAGACAAACCCCCATCAGTGGATGGCTTGAAATGGGGTCGTTAAAGAGATCGATAAGGAGATCGACCGGGAACCCGGGAACCTGGGAACCCACCGAAATCGGAACCAATGACTAGGACCCCGGGAACCCCGAACCGAGAACCCGGGAACTTGGCCGGTTACCAGAATCGGCGGGGCATTTTCGCCAAATCTTTCAATCTCCGCTAGGACCCCTTCAGTGCAAGCACTGATGGGGGAAAACTATACTTCCGAGCTGGAACATGATTGCCCTATACCCAGAGATCCGATGTCGTGTTTTTTTCCATGCGGGGCCCCCAGAAGTCTCGACCGATTTCTCAGGACCGGCTTTTCATCCTGCATCGTTCCTTTGACGGTCCCGGGGCCCGGCGAGGGCTCCGTATGGGGGCCGAAGACTGCGAAAAGCCTCCGTCTTGACTGGTTCCGTGCGTTGGGTCTCTGGGTGGGGCCCTCGGACCTCCGACCCCGTGGGCTGCCCTCCTCGCACCGCGAGGGCCCGCGTCGTGCGTTGCCTCGAGGTGGCCCTCCCCCGGGGGCGCGACGGTGGGGCCGAGCTGCGCGCGCCCCGGCCCGAGCCGGAGAGGCGCCCAGCCTCCAAGGTGGCCTCGCGAGGGCGCGAAGGTCGGTATCGCTCAACAGATCCCCATCCCCATCCCCATCCCCAGACCTCCTCGCGTTGTGAAAAAATCACGACGGGGGGGTTTTCCCTATTTTCGGCCTCAGGTTGCCCTTACCGGGCCTCGGGACTGTCAAAAAACGGTTCAGGACGAGAAACCGGTCCCAGGGAAGGGGTCCAGACCTTTGGGGGTCGACGTTTTGAAAAAATCACGACGTCGGGGGTCCCTTCGGAGACCCTCACCACATTGCCACCCCAGGTGGGGGTGCAGCCCTCGAAACCTGAAGTGAACGGCCCATATCCCTATCCAGGGGGGCAAATCGGCCAGTGGGGCCCAGGCCACGCCGCTGGGGATGGGGATCGGTTGAACGATACTCAGAAGGTGGCCGCGTGTCGCGGGGCGCGACCCAGAGATCCAACGCCGAAATCCTGGTCAGAGCGCACCCCGAGAGAGGTCCGGGGAGCAGCGGCATCGGTACCTTTTGGCTTCCCCAGTGTCAGGTTGCACTGGAGCCTCGACCTGGTGGTATGGTCTCTCTGGGGACACGAGCGGTGCCAGGCCGCGACGCACGCCCCGGGCCCTCGTTGCGGTGGACGTGCGCCGTGCATTGAGCAGCACCCCTGGGATGTCTGAGAACTGCGGTGCCCGGGTGTCCACGGGAGGGGGAGGAGGGACAGAGGGAGGTTTTTTGGTCGTGTCTGGCCTGTCTCGGGGGCGCCCCTCATTGCCACGGCTGGAGCGCTGGATCCGCCTCGGATCTCCGGCCAGAACGCGCCTGGGGGTAGGTCCGCGAGCATCGGAATCACATGAATGGCAACAACATTCATAATAAACAGGGCTAGGGGCAGCAGCGAAAGGGGGGCGAGCGAGAAGGAAGAGAGGGATGGTCTCACCTTGTTGTTTATCGGCAGCTTTTGTTTTTGGTGCTCGCTTTGAGCATGTCCATGACGAGTTCACAGTGGTCGGGCGCGGGCCCGTGTGGAGGTGGAGACGGAGGGGGAGGGAAGGGGAGAGAGAAATAGGAAGAGGAGGACAGGAGGACAGGGGGAGGCTTCGGGATGCTGGACTTTCCGCAGAGGGAGCTTGGGTCCTCCTCCTCATCTTCGCCCAGGGCGCAGTGACTCACCACCGTCGCGCCGCGTACAACTACAACTTAGCGTGGACTGACACTTTCGATGGCGCTGTGTTCGGATGCCTCGAAGACCTCCTGCAGGCCCCTCTGGACGACACGCAAAGACTGCAGGCCGCCCTGCGGCTGGTCGACGGGGTGTGTGCCCTCCCTTCAGCCAAGGAAACAGCGCCGGCCGCGTACGCTGCGAGCTGGGCGCGTGTCATGCAGGACGTGGCCCGCGGCGCTGGGTTCGCTACTTGGGAGGACTTTCGGGCCCGCTGCCCCTTGACGTTCCAATCGTTGCGGGAGGCGGAAGCGGCGCTGCGAACGCAGGGAGCTATGGGGAACGACCCGTTCGAATGGCTGGACACTTTCCAGGAGCCGCAACTGAAGCTGCAGGGGCAGTGGGGCAAAGCGAGGTGCTCGGCTGGGAGGGAACGCTTGCTGGGAACGTTGGGAGAGGACGACCGACTCCACCTCCGCGGAACAGGAGGCCCAGGCGCCAGGGGATTCCTGCTCCCCCGTGAGGAGGGTGACCAGTACATGCCAGATAAGCATTTCCTTGCGGCGTACAAGAAGCGCTTGCGGGTGCCGGTGTGCCCGCCCGGTGCTCGCTGCCAGCACAAGTACGCCGACACAGGGCTGCCGTGCAACGAGCCATTGGACGCGCGCGGGTGGCATGCCTGCAGCTGCCCTGTGGGGGGTCCCGCGCAGGCCGCCACGACAACAGGAGGGACGGGTACGCCCCCACGCACACACGCCTCTCGGCCTACTACGCGGTCAAGGAGCAGCGGGTTCCTGGTTGGGACAGGATGGACCCGCAGACGGGCGTCATGGAGGAGGCGAAGTTGGACGTTTGTACACGAGACCCCAGCACAGGTCAGCCTGTGTGTGTGTGGATTGGAGCGTTACCTGCGAATACAGCACCTACGGCCCTCGCAGGCGCGCTCGATCCAACAGAGACGGGGTCGCGGCGGCGCAGACGGTCCACGAGAAGCGCGAGCGCTACCCTCCGCAGCACGGGAACTTGGCGCCCTTAGTGTTCCAGTCGGGCGGCCGCCCATCCGACATGGCCGTCGAGTTCATCCGGTCGTACGGCCACGGGCTCGACGACGCTGACCGGGCCGTGGTCCTCGGAACGCTGTGGAGGCAAATCAGCAGACGCCTGCAGACCGGCAACGCCGAGATGCTGCTGAGTGCGCTCGGACGCTAGGCCGGCAGCTGCCCGCGGCTCTTGCGGCCACCGCCACGACCACCGTGGCCGCCCCCAGCACGGCGAACAAACAACGCAGCCACCGCAGCCCGGCCGCCTCCAGCACTACTACCACCAGCCCGGCTATCGCCAGGGCCGCCACGATACGACAACCCAGCACGACCCCCACGCCCATCACCGCCCCCCGTCCCCCGTCCTCCTCCCCCCCCGCCCTTCCCCTTCCTCCTCCTCCTCCTCCTCCTCCCCCTCCTCCTCCTCCTCCTCTTCCTCCTCCTCCTCCTCCTCCTCCTCCTCTAGTGTCGCGTCGGCTTTGTAGTCCCCGCCCTAGGTGTAATTCATGCTTGTTAATTCAAAGGCCCCCACTGTGTCCCCACGGGTCCCCTTGGCGAAGGGGGAGGAGGGCCAACTCTGGCGCCCGTGGGTCTTTCCGCCGGAGGAGGAGGAAGAGGAGGAGGAGGACGAGGAGGAGGAGGAGGAGGAGGAGGAGGAAGAGTAAGAAGAGGAGGAGCAGGAACAGGAGGAGGAGGAGGAGGAATGAGAAGAAGAAGAAGAAGAAGAAGAAGAGGAGGAAGAGGAGGAGGAGGAAAACAAGTGCGGCTCACGCGTTCCGCTCTGTCATTGGCGCTCCAGTTGCGCATTCGTTATCACATATCCGTCGCCAAGAAAGCGCGACTCTGGCACATACCTCCAACGTCGCGATACTTCACGGCATGGGCCTCGGACGCTCTCGACAACGTCCTGGGGACCGTTTCTTCGTTCTGAGTAATTTCGGTTCAGTCCCCCCACGGCATGAAACAACATGAGAAGAGGAAATGGAGAAGGCGGAGGAGGAGGAGGACGACGAGGAGGATGAGGAGAAGGAAGAGCAGGAGGAGGACGAGCAGGAGAAGGAAGAGCAGGAGGAGGAGGAGGACGACGTGGACGAGGACGAGGAGTAGTAGGAGGAGGAGGAGGAGGAGGAGGAGGATGAGCAGGAGGAGGAGGAGGAAGAGGAGGAGGAGAAGGAGGAGCAGGAGGAGGAGGAGGAGGAGGAGGAGGAGGAGGAGGAGGAGGAGAGGAGAGGAGGAGAGAGAAGGATTCAGACGGATGGGGAAGAGGAGGAGGAGGAGAAGGAGGAGGAACAGTAGGAAGAAGGAGGAGGAGAAGGAGAAGGAGGAGGAGAAGGAGGAGGAGGAGGAGGAGGAGGAGCAGCAGAAGGTAAGACTCAGCCCTGACCGCGCTCAGAATTCGAGGCGAGCGAATTGCACAAATGGTCAGTGCTCTCGCCGACGAGGAGGTGTGACCCCATACGTAGCCCATGCCCCAGTCCACAAGCATCAACTTTCCGAGGTTTCCCCAGCCTCCCGTCCAACCAAGCAGAGTGACACGGCATCAGCTTGCAAGGCCTAACGTGTCGCAGGGGCCGCCGCCGTGACACGTAGGAAGAGGAAGAGGACGGCGAGGAGGAGGAGGAGGAGGAGGAGGAGGAGGAGGAGGAGGAGGAGGACGCGTGACCCCGTGACCCATGCCAGATGCCAGCCTGTCTCAGCGTCGCCTGCCTGCCGCAG